TCCCTCTCCCACTCCCCCTGCTTGTGTTCCCTCTCTCGCTGTGTCTCTGTCTCTCAAATAAATAAAATCTTTTAAAAAAATAAAAAAATAAAAAAAAATAAAATGTGATGATTTGTTCCCGATCTGATCAGACCCAGAATATGAAACAGACATGGAATCTGGCCCATGGGTTCTGGCCCCTTTTGATTCTGCCAGCACGTGTGGGAGGTACGGAGACAAATTCCGTGGCAGTTAGAAAGCGAGCTGGCTGCCAAGATGGAGAAGAGGGAACACTTAGTCTTGACCTTCTATAATCCTAAGGCTCCCAAAATTCAGGGGAATCGGAACTACCAAAGGGTGAGGAGGTACCTAACTGTAGGTCAGATGGGAGGAAGAAGACTTACTTAAAGGTGGGCCAAGACAGAGTGCCCTAAAGGTAGAGAAATATCACCCTGGGTAAGGAGAGACATCCACAGATCAAACCCACATGGGGATACTTAAGGGAGAGATGAGTGGAGACCCTGGGGATCAAGGGTGATCTTTTTGGGTAGGCAATATTTCCCTCATCCTTGTAGCCTACCCTCCCCATCAACAAACATCTGAGTGCCACGATACCACCCCAGAGGCGGCAGCACCATGTGGACCAGACACACATCTACATCCGAATGTTCTGTGGCAGCCTGTGTGGTTTTGGTCTCCTAATGCTGATCTGCACAACCCCACTGAACTGGGTGCAGTTCCTGGTGGTCAAGAATGGCCTTGAACTCTACGCAGGACTCTGGATCTCATGCACCCATGAGCTGTGCTGGAGCCGCACACCTAAACCACCCTGTGAGTGCCACCAAACCAAACGCCACAGGCCCCACAGTTCCCAGAGCTTTCTGCCACATTGGCTCTTCATCTTTCTTCCTTCAAGATCTCTTTGCCCTCACCGCTCCGAGTCCAAGAGGGGTCTCAGGCAAATTGTGGATATAGCCATCCTTTTCTTTGGTGTCTCAGTGTACCCCTTCTCCCTCCTACTCCCGGTTGTTTTCTCTCCCAACTTAGTAGTTGATACTCTCTTTGCTCTCTGGGAAGAACTCTTTGGGCCTTTCTAAGCTGTCACTGTGAAGCAATGTGATGAGTATTCTAATGTGCCTTGCAGAAATAGAAGTAACTGATCAGAACTGGGAAACAAAGCAAAGTGTCTCAGCCTCCATGAGATTTAACTTTAAAAAAAAATTCCTTTAAGATTTTATTTATTTATTTGAGAGAGAGTGAGAGAGAGAGAGAGCACAAGTAGGGGGGAGAGGGAGAGGGAGAAGCAGACTCCCCACTGAGCAGGGAGCCCGAAGTGGGGCTCGATCCTAGGACCCTGAGATCATGTCCTGAGGCAAAG